TAACCTGAACTGGTTCAGACTATATGTTACACATGAGCCTAGACTTGTAGGAGATATCATTTGACCTTATTGTACAGTTTACAACTAACCTCAACTGGTTCAGACTATATGTTACACGGGAGCCTAGACTTGTAGGAGATATCATTTGACCTTATTGTACAGTTTACAACTAACCTGAACTGGTTCAGACTATATGTTACACATGAGCCTAGACTTGTAGGAGATATCATTTGACCTTATTGTACAGTTTACAACTAACCTCAACTGGTTCAGACTATATGTTACACGGAAGCCTCGACTTGTAGGAGATATCATTTGACCTTATTGTACAGTTAACAACCAACCTGAACTGGTTCAGACTATATGTTACACGGGAGCCTAGACTTGTAGGAGATATCATTTGACCTTATTGTACAGTTTACAACCAAAGCCTAGACTTGTAGGAAATTCGAAAGATTTCCTAAATATTACCAGATATTTCATTCAATTTCTGAGCAAAGCTGTATTTTTATGGACATTTTTATTTACACCAAGATGTTTGATACCCTGCATTTATCATGCTTTTCAATAACATATGGTCAAATCGCTGAAAGACCCCCTCTTAAATTATAGAAGACTATCATTCTGCATTGACAACAATATCTTCGTGTAAATTAGATACACCTATTCGGGCTAACACCCTCAATGTGTATCTTATACATAAGAGTAGAAATCTGATTTCAGTAAAACTTGTCAAACAATTTTATCCATCATTTTCAAGTGCTGTTTATAGCATATATCGGTAATATTATTCATACATGTATAAATACTTGGCAGACAATTTAAGTTAGTCTAGTCAGTGTGGATTAAGCTTAAGGCTGTCATTAATACATTACTTCAAGTTGAAAATTGAGTTCTACTGTATCACAAAACCTTAGCAAAAAAAAAAAAAAATGCAGACATAAAATCTTTGGATCACATGTTTTGGACCTAATATTCTGTAATTGTCAATTTCTGTTAGAATAAAATGAATATTAATTCTGTCATGCTTCATCGAAATCATTGCAGTCTTTGTGATTACCACACATCAACATCTAAATGCATATGAGGGTTGATGTTACTTTACATCTACATGGACATAACTCAATTATCAAGATAAAAAGAACAAAGAAATTAGGACAAGTTTTTTTCTTTCTCTTTGTGTATTTTTTAACCTAATAGCTAGTATGTAAAGAGATGTTTAAGATTGTTTGTAACTTTTGTTTGATATTCTAGAACATAAAACATAGAATTTCTACATCTCATATCAAGAGTTACGAATACCAGATAATTATCTTGGGAGGGTTAATAACTGAGTATTGTTACATCTAATAACTGCATATTACAACAAAAAATTCAGTTAAATATCAATATCAGATCCCTTGTAAATTACAAGAAGTGTTTGTACTGGAAAGGAATAAATTTGAAAATAAGAAAAAAAATTGCCCTGATGAAGTAAAGTATTAGGATTGTTTGAATATACACTTGAAAACAGTGGTAACCAGTTCCTCAAAATGATCTACCAATAGTAATTTAATTTGGTATGAATATATTGATATTGTTGGTCATGTTGAGCAGGTGTGAAGAAGTAGGAGCTGACCTAGATTTTCGTTTTATACATTTGTATGACATGGCATTTCATTTCAAAACCCAACACATAAGTATACTAAAAAAATCAAAAATTTTGGTCGACCCACCTGAACTTTTGACTTTTCAGTCCATCCATCAGTTTGTAAGTCATCTTAGTTGAGGGATGATAAATTAGACATACATGTTTGGTATTTTATTATGAAATGAAGTTTCCTATTGATTTTTTGGTCTTTAAGTTGAAAACAAAGGTCATTGTTATTAAAAATTGACTGGAATAAGTTGAGTGATAATAACATATGATATTAATGGTCACATTAGACTTGCTACATGTCCCTTCCTTATTATTTTTTTTCAATTTTGCCCCTTTAGAAATTTTACTGCTATAACTAAGAGATCACCATTATAGTGACATCTGCAGAGGATTCTTTCTCCAAGGGCAATCAGTATACTGGCAGTTTTCAGTAAACATATAAATTAGTAAGAAAGAAATAAAAGAAAGGGAGTTGTAGCAAGTCTATGGTCACATATAATGAGAGGAGATTCCCTATTGATTTTGAGGTCATTTTGTTTAAGGTCAAGGTCATAGTTACTACAAGTAGGCCATAGTTTGTGCAGTGAGGGGGTATACTGATAATCTTAAAATGGACCAAAATTAGTGTAGGAAATGAGTTTCTAGATTATTACTTATGATCATAACATAGGATTAAAACCATTCCTTTGTAGAAGGTCACATATAATGATTGGAAGATCCTTATTCATTTTGAGACCACTGTGTCTTCTGTCAAGGTCATTTAATTTTGTTGTTGCCAAAAAACAAACTGAGATTAGTACAGAAAAGGGGTTTCTAGATAATAACTCCACAACCTTTCCTTTTGGTTGGAACCAAACTGGCATACTTACATGTATGGTCACATATAACAAGAAGATCACTATTCCCTGAGGTCAAAACACCAAGATCATAGTATTTGTTACTTAAACTAGAAAGAAGTCAAAACAAGTATAGAAAAGGGGCTCTCAATGATAACTCCCGGACATTCAACAACGATGGCACCAAATTTTGATTTATGTTAATACATAAGGGAAAGAAATTCCCTATTGATTTTCAAACCATATTCGATGAAGTTTATTTATGAATTATGACAGCTGCTTTAACTTTTAAGTTAACCACCTTTTGATTTTGATAAGTAGAAACATGTAATAATGCAGCTTTTGCTATGCAGCATGTAAGGAGAAGACAAACTTATTGTATACCTGTCAAGTGCCCAGTGTGTTTTTTTGGTTGTTTGTAAATATTTATGACTTTTCATAAAATTGGTACAAACCTTTTTTTTTAATAACAACAATTTTGATGTTATCAAAACTGACATGTTTATTATCTCATAGCTTAAATAAGATAAAAATATAGGTTTTGAATTTTCACTATGTCAGAAAAACAATAAATGTTATGAAAAGTTTGTTTAGCACATAAAGAAGATATGTCTCCTGCTGATTAAGTCTTTGTTTCCTGGGGAAGGTTATATCATATGAGAACATCAACAAGACAGGAAGCTTGTTAAAAAACCATAGATGTCCTAGAGAATGCACCTAGATTAGTTGTTGTAAGAATTGAAAGAGGGACATTTAGGATTTACAATAGACATCCCTTCTCCATTAGGAGAGGAGATTGTCTTTTTTTGAAGACTATGACAGTTGCCCTGTATATGCATTTTTTCTATTTTTATTGTTGGATAGCCTGTCTAATTGATGTATATATTTATCGCACCTCTGGTAAATCAGTGACATTATGATTGGTTTAACGCTGTTACGTGGTGCCCCCTATGGATCTGTATGGGGTCAGTAGATTTTATAGGGGGTTCATGACGTCACGTCTACTGTTAATGGTGACGTCATAGATTTAATGTTATTTTTTGTATTGCATTGTTGATTTTTAAACAAAACTTGACAGGAAAAGTCCTATGTGCGATAAATTTGTTATACAGTTCACTATTGACCCCCTACGAATCCATAGGGGGTCAGTAGCAAAACCATATAACTTATAATATACCACGTCTCCTTTTTGTCTCGCCTTGACAGAGTTAAAAAGCAAGACATAGGTTTGCTGTTTGCCATGGCGGCGGCTGCGTCAACAATGTATTTGTTTATGATTAGGTCAGTTTATGGGGAACCACTAGTGGTAGGTCAATAAAGTTTGCTATGCAGTTGTATTACCATTGGCACATATCATTTCCATGGAGATTATTTGGCCCCGCCCCCTTAGTCATGGTCTATTGACTTTGAAACTTTTGCTTAGTTTACATGTATTAGTTTGTGATTAGGTCAGTTTATGGGACCCTCTAGTGGTAGGTCAATGATATTTGGTATGCAGTTATATTAGCATTGGCACATCTCATTTTCAGTCAGGGTTCATTGACTTTGAATATTTTGCATAACTAACATGTCAAAGTATTGCTATTTTATTTTCAACATTTGCATTTTACTATCAAAATAACAAAAAGGCCAAACATATCTCTGTGTTAACAGTTTATATTCATATATAGTTGATATAATAATTCAAAACAGGTTCAAAAGTTTTCCCTCTAATGTTTCATTCTTTTAACAAAATTGATAAATAAAGATTGATGTGTACAAACAAAATGAAGGAAAAGACTACAACAAACATTTGAATTCTTGCACAACATATCATTGGTATACTTTAGATCTTAGTATCAGGCTAGATTCAGGGAAAGGCTAGAGTGGCCTATGGCAGGGAGGGGGATCCCATTATGGCTGAAAAATCATGTTTTTTAGTAAATATATAGAGATTTGCATTGAGGCCCTTCTTTTTATGAATATAATATTTTTAACACAATATATATTATTAAATATTATTATATTATAATTTTCAATTTGATAATATCTTAGAACAGTGATAAAGGCAAGATTTTTTAATTGTATGCCTTTTAATGTCACTTTTAACCAACAATTTCCAGGAAATATTTTTAAGGATTTACTAAATGAAGGTAATCAAGCAACAAATCAAATCATTTAATTTAAAATTTGTAGATTTTCAATTTCCGTTTCACCTCTTTTTATGAATACAGGGACATACATGCAGACAATTTCCCTGTTTTTATGCATTTTATTTTGTAGTAATATTAAGTATAAGGTTAATTAAGATATTATATTTCACTATAAAATGGTAGTTTCATGGATCTAAATAAAGCCACTACAGGTTGTGATTTGATAGACATAATTAAGAATCTTTGATCTAGCTTGATAATGCTTCTGATAAAATCTCAGACTTATCATCACCTATAAGGAAGATTTATTAGTTTGTCTTCAGCCACTCAATGTTTATTAAATGTTTATTAGAACATTTACGTTCTTTATGAAGCTAACCTGTTTGAATGAGTAAATAGTAAACTTGTTTGTCTTTAGGTAGACCTTATGTTCCAAGTCAGTTGAGAAAGGATTATTGATAAACTGATGAAGTTTTGTTGAGTTTAGACAGATTAATGGATCTGCTAATGATTAGTTATATGTAGGATTTATCAAAAGCATGTATTGGTATTCAGTGAGCAGACATTTTTTATTAGAGATTGATTTGAATAATTGACATAGTAAGAAATGGTGAAGATTGAGATGAACTGAAAAGGTGGTCAGATGTTTTTTTCTGAATTTAAAATCTGAAATTGTGGAAGATTTATTATTGTTCATCAACAAATTGTTTTACACAGACAGATGGTCTTTCTCATTAAAAATGGATTTATTTTTCATAGATAAGTATACGTAATAATCCTGCCAATATTTGAATGTAAACTTTCAGTGTACTGTATGATTGACTACAGAAATTGTAGAAAATATTTTGGAATTCTATGTTTCAGTTGAAAAAATTCAATTAATTATTTAGTGTAACATTATTTGTACGATTCTGCCAGAAATGGAGGCCTTTTACATATAAAACATATCTAAAGTGATTGAAAGCTGACTTCCTATAGATATACAAACTGCCAAGGCATCACAGAAATCTTATAACTTTACGTCACTGGTACTATACAGGTGGTTGTAGTTGTCCAATAGAAGGTGGTTATCTGTAGAACATATGTGATGGAAATAATGAAAAACAACACATATTTACTCTCCTTCTTTGCTTCCATTTGATTTGGATGAGTAAATACTCTAATCAACCAGGCACTCTATGGATATTCTTAATTGTTGATATAGCGGGTTTCGTTTTAAAAGTAGATTTTCACAGGATTATATTTTGATTGCTAATTATAAAATAAGGATTATTGAGATTTGGAATTCATTGCACGTAACAGTGATGCAATGCTTTGATTGAAAAAAAAAGTTTGTGGCTGTGTGCAGTTTACAAAGACAATATTAACTGGTGTAAAACATGGCTACAGACCATCAAATTGACAGTGAAATGAACATTTAGATATTGTTTATGACCAGTTCTGAATTAGCATGTTAATTACAATTCCATTCTTCTATGTACTGTGAAAATTAGTCAAGGATTTACAATGGACCGTTACTATGAGTGGAACCATTATGTATCTCTTGTCAGACTGAGGTGTCACTCACCTTCAAACAAGTATGTATAAGATTTCTTGAATGTGGTAGAAAAGGGGGAGGGTAGTTAAATGGTAGATGTCATTTACTTTCTACCTAGTGTGTATAAGATTTCTTGAAACTGGCAGAAGAGGGGGAGGGTAGTTAGATGTCACTAGTGTCACTTACCGTCAACCATTTTTCATTTGCAGTCTTAAATCTGATAGAAAGGGGGGGGGGGGTTAGTTAAATTAGGTGTCCCTCACCTTCAAGCAAGTATGTATAAGATGTCTTGAATCTTAAGAAAAATAAAGGAATAAAGAGAAGGGAAAGGGGGTTAATAGTAAAACAAGGTGTTTGCTCACATTCAGTTAAGTATATATAATGTTATTTGAATCATTAATAGATTGGGGGGAAGGAGTACATGTATCTATGTTAAATGAGATTTCTTGAATCTTTGTACAATATAGGAAAGAATTATCTTTAGTAAAGAAGGATGTCACTTCAACCAATTATATATGTGGTCTCTTGAATCTTTGGGCAAAAGGAATACATATTTACAATAGACTTGTGCCATACGGGGAATCTGTTAAATGGCAATTGTCAGTCACATTGTGTATGATGTTTTTATGGTAGTTTGGTAAGTGAGAGAAGGAATTATTTGCAATGGACCTTTGCAACCTTGAATGAATTGTCACAATGTGGATTGTCTAACTAACTGAGATATACTGGCTCACATTCAGTAAAGTTTATTTTTTTAAGGGTTGTTGAGATTATCATGTAAAACCATTTTGTGTGATCTATTTCAGTTAAGAATATTTTGGGAGGTCTTGATGGTTTTCTTAAGTCTTAAGAATATAAAAGGAAGCTATCTTGAGTTATCTGTTCCTCTGGGCAGTTGCTCTTTAGTAAAGATTGCTTTTTGGTTGGTTGCAACAAATACATGGGTGAGAAGGTGGCATGGACTGTTATAGCGAGTGATAAATTGAGCCTTGGTTGCAATTAAATTAAAGTTGAACAAAGTATATATGTAAGAGTCAAATCTATATCCACTTGTGCTGACTCAAATCTGTGTACTGTGACATCATGACACTCAAATGTGTGACCCTTTGCTATTCAAACCTTGCCCTTTTTATACGACCGCAAAAATTTTTTTGCGTCGTATAATGCTATGATGTCGTCGTCTGCGTCGTTGTTGTCCGAAGACACATTTGATTTTTCGGAAAATAACTTTAGTTCATGTGAATGGATCTCTATGATTTTTTTCCAGGAGGTACCAACAGTTTAGGAATGAGGGGCCAAAAAGGAGCCAAAAACAAGCATTTTTGTAGTTTCCTGACAATAATTTTTGTGTAAGTGTATGGATCTCTCTGAAATTGTACCACAAGGTTCCATATCACAAAGGAAAGGCTTGGATTGAGTTTGGGGGTAATATCCCCAAACATTCAGGAATTAGGGGCAAAAAAGGGGCCAAAAACAAGCATTTTCTAGTTTCCAGACAATAACTTGTGTTTAAGTATATGGATCTCTCTAAAATTGTACTACAAGCTTCCATACCCTAAAGGGAAGGCTGGGATTGTGTTTGGGGTTAATAACTCCAAAAGGGGGGGTGGGGTGTTCAAAAAGTTGGGGGGGTTCCATTTTTTTGGGGGGGTTCATTTTTTTTCTTCAAAAATGTTTGAAATTTCAAATTTTTCAAATCTTTAATTGCACAGTATTGCGCAATAGCACAGTATTGTACAATAGCACAGTATTGTACAATAGCTCAGGTTTAGGCAAAAGCAAGAAATCTTCAATTGCGCAGTATTGGGCAATAGCAAGAAATCTTCAATTGCACAGTATTGCGCAATAGCACAGTATTGTGCAATATCACAGTATTGTGCAATATCACAGTATAGTGCAATAGCAAGAAATCTTCAGTTGCACAGTATTGCACAATAGCAAGAAATCTTCAATTGCACAGTATTGCGCAATAGCAAGAAATCTTCAATTGAAAACAAATACAAATGTTTTAACCAATTTGGATGGGATTAATTAAGTCTTTAATTTTTGGGGGTTCTAACCTTGTATAATTTTTTTTGATATTGGGCCCCATTTTTAAATTGGTCTACATTGAGGTCAAAAGGGTCCAAAATTAAACTTTGTTTGATTTCATCAAAAACTGAATTATTGCGGCTGTATGATTTGCTGAGTCTTATTGTGCATTTAGATTTTTATTTTGGGCCCTGTTTTCACATTAGTTCATATTAAGGTTTGAAGGGATCAAAATTAAACTTTGTTTGATTTCAACTAAAATTAAATTATTGGTGTTTTTTTATATGCTGAATCTAACCATGTAGTTAGATTTTGGATATCAGACCATTCTAGGTAAATTAAATGTCCCATTTCAAATTTTTAAGATCTTTGACCACATTTATTTTGTGTCAGAAACCTATATTATGTCAAAAATTTGATCACAATCCAAATTCAGACAGTATCAAGCTTGAATATTGTGTCCAAACTTGCCCCAACTGTTCAGGGATCGACCTCTGCGGTTGTACCAGGCTGTGTTCAGCGAAGCATTTTATTAAAGTGATTTTCAGTAATGTGACATGACTTTTGGCAGGCACATATAGAATAAAGTGATCAACCTTCCCCAAGTTTGAAGCTATTGGAAAATCCAGAAGTAATTTTTGTCCAAAAATTGAAATAAAAGGTGAACAAATAGAAGAAGATTATGTGGAAGTTTGATTTCCAAGTTACAGAGGAGGAGTTAGAACAGCAACAATAATGATCTTAAAGACTTTAAAGAGTGGAATCTAATATTAGTGTTTACTCAATTAAACTGTCAATACAAAAGTTGCTAGGGTGTACATGATATTACTATTTGACTAGAGCAAGTGCAAAATGATTACAGAATTATTGGATTTGTAATTTGAAAAATAATTAATCTATTAACGCAGATAAAACTTGATTGATGAAAAATTAATAATGTCCTCCAATCTAGATTGACTTGCAGTTTCTAACACTAAAGTTAATGTCAATAGACTCTCAGTGGATTATATTGTTGTAGAGGGTAGAGGTTAGGCTTGATTGTGAATCTGAGTCCCACTGGAAGACGATTATATTGGCTTGTACCAATGTAGCATGATACTGTAATTGGAATTTTATAAGCAGTCAGTAAGTCAGACTTTGTTGTAGAGGATAGAGGTTAGGCTTGATTGTGTCCTTAACATGGAGAATCTAAGTCCCACTGGACATGCTGGAGGACCATTACAGTAGCATGATACTGTAATGGGAGTTTTATTGGCAGTCAGTAAGTCAGGTTTTGTTGTAGATGTTTTGCTTGATTTCGTCCTTAACATGGAGAATCTAAGTCCCACTGGAGGACGATTGACTTGTAGATTGATACTGTAATGGGAATTTTATAAACAGTCAGTAAGTCAGGCTTTGTTGTAGAGGGTAGAGGTTAGGCTTGATTGTGTTCTTAACATGGAGAATCTAAGTCCCACTGAAGGACGATTGACTTGTAGCGTGATACTGTAATGGGAATTTTATAAGCAGTCTGTAAGTCAGGCTTTGTTGTAGAGGGTAGAGGTTAGGCTTGATAGTGTCCTTAACACGGAGAATCTAAGTCCCACTGGAGGACGATTGTATTGACTGGTAGCATGATACTGTAATTGGAATTTTATAAGCAGTCAGTAAGTCAGACTTTGTTGTAGAGGATAGAGGTTAGGCTTGATTGTGTCCTTAACATGGAGAATCTAAGTCCCACTGGACATGCTGGAGGACCATTACAGTAGCATGATACTGTAATGGGAGTTTTATTGGCAGTCAGTAAGTCAGGTTTTGTTGTAGATGTTTTGCTTGATTTCGTCCTTAACATGGAGAATCTAAGTCCCACTGGAGGACGATTGACTTGTAGATTGATACTGTAATGGGAATTTTATAAACAGTCAGTAAGTCAGGCTTTGTTGTAGAGGGTAGAGGTTAGGCTTGATTGTGTTCTTAACATGGAGAATCTAAGTCCCACTGAAGGACGATTGACTTGTAGCGTGATACTGTAATGGGAATTTTATAAGCAGTCTGTAAGTCAGGCTTTGTTGTAGAGGGTAGAGGTTAGGCTTGATAGTGTCCTTAACACGGAGAATCTAAGTCCCACTGGAGGACGATTGTATTGACTGGTAGCATGATACTGTAATTGGAATTTTATAAGCTGTCAGTAAGTCAGGCTTTGTTGTAGAGGGTAGAGGTTAGGCTTGATTGTGTCCTTAACATAGAGTATCTAAGTCCCACTGAAGGACGATTGACTTGTAGCATGATACTGTAATGGGAATTTTATAAGCAGTCTGTAAGTCAGGCTTTGTTGTAGAGGATAGAGGTTAGGCTTGATTGTGTCTTTAACATGGAGAATCTAAGTCCCACTGGAGGACCATTGCATTGATTTGTAGTATGATACTGTAATGGGAATTTTATAAGCAGTCAGTAAGTCAGGCTCTTCTGTTATGTTGGCTTCTTGCTTTGATATATTTACACAGATATATGTCTTTTAAGGTTGAATGAAATATGGTGTGGGTATACTGGCAGACTGAACAAGTTTATATTTCATGATTGACATCTCTATAGAATGATAAAAGGAAGTGACTTCTCTCTATTGAGTTGAGTTGAGTAGAAAAGGAAACACTAAAAAATGAAATGACACAGGGAAAAACTGAAATTACAGTAATATGATTCACATACTGTAAATTCAGAAATTATTGTGTGCATTTGTTTTTATACGACCGCAAAAAAATTTTTGTGGTCACATATTGGTATGACGATGGCGTCGTCGTCGTCGTCGTCCGAAGACACATTAGTTTTCGCACTCTAACTTTAGTTTAAGTGAATGTATCTCAATGAAATTTTACCATAAGGTTCAATACCACAAAAGGAAGGTGGGGATTGATTTTGGGGGTTATGGTACCAACAGTTAAGGAATTAGGGGCCAAAAAGGGGCCAAAAATAAGCATTTTTCTAATTTCATGACAATAACTTGTGTGTAAGTCTATGGATCTCTCTGACATTGTATCACAAGGTTCCATATCACAAAGGGAATGCTGGGATTGATTTTGGGTGGTAATTGCCTCCAAATTTTAGGAATTAGGGGCCAAAAAGGGGCAAAAAACAAGCATTTTTCTAGTTTCATGACAATAACTTGTGTGTAAGTGTATGGATCTTTATGAAATTGTACTACAAGGTTACATATCACAAAGGGAAAGCTGGAATTGAGTTTGGGGGTAATCGCCCAAAAAGTATAGGAATAAGGGGCCAAAAAAGGGCCAAAAATAAGCATTTTTCTAGTTTCCAGACAATAACTTGTGTTCAAGTGTATGGATCTCTCTGAAATTGTACTGCAAGGTACCATACCACAAAGGGAAGGCTGGGATTGATTTTGGGGGTAATTCCCTCAAATTTTTAGTAATTAGGGGCCATAAAAGGGCAAAAAAACAAGCATTTTTCTAGTTTCAGGACAATAACTTGTGTGTAAGTGTATGGATCTTTATGAAATTGTACTGCAAGGTTCCATATCACAAAGTCAAAGCTGGGTGACAAAATTGTTAGATTAAATATTGTGATTTCAAAAAAATCTGCATACAGATCTATATTAGTGTTGCATATTAGAATGTAAGTTCTTTTTATTGCGATAATCAGTATCACCCAGTCGCATTATTCACATTATTGAAAACCTCACAATTATTTCTGAATTTACAGTTTCTTATCTAGACTTCTGAGGCCTTTTTTGTTACATACATGCAGAAGCTTGTCAGCATATATACAGGGATTCATTTAATATTAGCTTTGTCTTAACTTGTAAATATTTATTCTCTTACAAACTGAAACTTATTGTACTTTGTAGTTTAGTAAAAAAAAAGATGAATAAATGAAGATGTTTAAAAGACATGTGAATATAAATGAGACAACACCAAAAAAATTGTCATCTTAAAAATAACAGTTGACATACCTTGTGCAGTATGTAAAACACTGAAGGACAAGAGGATTGAAAATGAAATGATGATGGATGGCTGTTTACCATCCAGTAACATTAACTAAATGCATATTTAGGACGATTGAAATTGAAAGCTTCTAATCTAAAATAATTTTTTCTTTCTGAAATTGCGGGGCCTATGTAATATCAAGTAACGAATTGATTAGTAGTAAAATTTGGGATTATTAAAATATTATATAACAGGTATTAAATGGAAGGGATTATCAAATTATATAATACTATGCTTATTCTTTGGTCATGTACATGTATTTTTGTTAAAGTCTTAGACATTAAAGATGGATCATTTATACCAATTAAAATGTCAAAACATGTGTATAGTTTTACCAATACAAAACATGTGTATAGTTTTACCAATACAAAACAAGTGTATAGTTTTACCAATACAAAACAAGTGTATAGTTTTACCAATTCAAAACAAGTGTATAGTTTTACCAATACAAAACAAGTGTATAGTTTTACCAATACAAAACATGTGTATAGTTTTACCAATACAAAACATGTGTATAGTTTTACCAATACAAAACAAGTGTATAGTTTTACCAATACAAAACAAGTGTATAGTTTTACCAATACAAAACAAGTGTATAGTTTTACCAATTCAAAACAAGCACATAATTTTGCAAGTACATGTATAGTCTATATACAAACAACTTCCATCATTATAAGAATGAATTTTAAAGCATTTTTCATCATTTTGACCACACAGAAATAACAATTAACTATTGAGTTACCAACAGTATGATTGACCACTTAACTTTTAGTGATGATCTGTCTTTTAATGAAGAGGTATTTCCTAATCAGCTTAGGATGTAAATACTTTGAAGCATGATGAAACATCTTATACAATACTTATTGAACAAGCTATCATCTTAATATGATGAATATACAATACTTATGGAACAAGCTATCATCTTGTAATGAATATAAGTGTTTCAGTGAATCTTCTGCACGATTCTAAAGAGTTGCTCACAAACTTAAGTTGAAGCATTACTGCAACATTACACTATCTATATTTATATAGTGGTAACCTTTTGATCTGTTACTTTGTGTTGTGATGCACATTGACTATAGTGACTAGAGAACTGTGTGAAATGGTGCAATTTATTGCATTGTGGGTTCACATGTACATAAACCATGAAGTGTTTTTCTCAACAAGTTACAAACAGTCATTTCTGGTACAGTTCAAAGTCCAAACCACCAAATGTATCATTCATTTCATGTGGTAGTCTGTCCCACTTCTGAGTTCAACCACATCAAAAATATTCTACTAATAAAAATATTGCATATATTATTTAGTACTTGAGTATTTCTGTATTGTTTTTTATCCCGATGACGGCACCAAAACATGTCAATCATTAAATTACTGCAGTAATCACGTATTGTTGTTATAACCCCTTTCACAAGTAAAAATATTGTTGATTTTTTCCAGTAAGATGAATTTATATGAAATATATTGTAATGAAGCATCCAACACTTTATCAAGCAATAAACAAAGCACAAATAGTAGAACTTAGAAACCAACCATATATCTCCAGTCTATGACAACGGGCCCTCTCTGAGAAAAGTGCATTTTTTCAATATTAGAGCACACTCTAAATTCCATAGAAGGAATTCTCAATAAAATTGTGGACCCTATATATGCTATCAATAATTTGAAAGGATTAATGCTTAATATAGGTTGCTTTCTTTTTTGAGGTATGAGAAGAAGAATTTGTTTAACATGACAACCCACCAATGATCTTTAGCTGAAATGCCGTCCATTACCATGTTTCATAATGACTCTTTGATTTTTATTTGTTTTTTACTCATAAATTATAAGGTGATAAATGAGCTATTCTCATTCTCTATAAATAGTACTGGTTCCCTGCAATGAAGAGAAATCAGAAAAATAAAATTGTTGAATACTTCAACATGAAATATGTCCATGTTAATAAGCAAGTTTAGTTTGATGAATATTTGAAGTAAAAATATTAAAGTAGTTACTTGGAAGAATTATAGATTAAAGAAGTAGGGTAAAATTTGATGAGACAGCATAATATAAAAGATAAAAGATTGATTGATTGATTCAGTGTTATTGTTAACGGCCCCTTTAAGCACTCTTGGCTATATCATGGTAGTCAGGTTTTACTGTTGCAGGAAGCTGGTGTACCAGTTTCACATCCTAAAAAGGGGAATAAGTAATGCTGAATTACAAATTTATGGTCAATTTCAGGATTTTGTTAAAAGCTTTTTAGACAGGACTTTAGATTTGTTATTCATGTTATTGTGTGAATCAATGTTCGGTAATGTTCACTGTGGTGAAAAGGGTCGTATTGGGCTAGACAGGAAGAACATTAAGAAACAGTTTACATACAGTAGACTTAATAACAGTTCAGGGTATAAATTAAAGGACCAAGCATATCCATAGGGATATGTAGATTAACAGGTTTAATCTGCTTACCCTTCCGGAGCACCTGAGATCACCCCCAGTTTTTGGTGGGGTTCGTGTTGCTTAGTCTTTAGTTTTCTATGTTGTGTCATCTGTACTATTATTTGTCTGTTTGTCTTTTTATTTTTGGCCATGGCGTTGTCAGTTTGTTTTTCGATCTATGAGTTTGACTGTCCCTCTGGTATCTTTCGTCCCTCTTTTTTAAAAGGTTCATAAAAAAAGATGCACTTTATTGAATATGCTTTTTAAGTCAAGAACATTTGATAAGCTTGGTGGAATTCTAGATGCTTTGAGTCTCAGAGTTAACTATTGAAATTTGCAAACATCTGGCATTAAAATTGACAACAAGGGACTTGGTTGAATAATTCTGGTTGCAAAATAAGTATCTACAGTACACTTGATTAATCCAAAATCAAAGGTTCTGTGCTTTTATTATTGTTTTTTATCTCAAAGTCGCAATGAAGCCTTCAACATGGAATTAAAGCTCACCTCTCATTGCAAGTTCAAAACGACTCTTAGCAGGGTTGACATGGTTAGATAGGAATTCCTCACTAGCTTTTGATAATACTTCATCTGTGCATGAAAGAAGACAAATTGTTCTGTTACAGTGTCTTTTAAAATAGTTCTGTTATGTACAGTTCCAACCACCTGACCACAGCTGTACTGAACCAAACTGTTATGTACAGTTCCAACCACCTGACCACAGCTGTACTGAACCAAACTGTTATGTACAGTTCCAACCACCTGACCACAGCTGTACTTAACCAAACTGTTATGTACAGTTCCACCTGACCACAGCTGTACTGAACCAAACTGTTATGTACAGTTCCAACCACCTGACCACAGCTGTACTGAACCAAACTGTTATGTACAGTTCCAACCACCTGACCACAGCTGTACTGAACCAAACTGTTATGTACAGTTCCAACCACCTGACCACAGCTGTACTGAACCAAACTGTTATGTACAGTTCCAACCACCTGACCACAGCTGTACTGAACCAAATGCAAGTATCCCATAGAAAATACAACTCAATCAAATAGGCATTCCGGGTGCGGGAGTTTCTCGCTGCATTGAAGACCCATTGGTGGCCTTCGGCTATTGTCTGCTCTATGGTCGGGTTGTTGTTTCTTTGACACATTCCCCATTTCCATTCTCAATTTTATTCAACAGGCTGATCATGAAATGGAGTAAATAATGGTAGGCAAGTATCAAGGAATTTTGATTCTTAAACTATGCTTGAAATTAGACATTTGAAAAGAATGATTGAATAAACATAAACTACCTTATTATTTCAGATGGGAGTGGGTGGAGATCATCGAACCCCGTACAAAGGAACATATGTATGCTAACCTCACCACTGGAGAATGTGTATGGGACCCCCCTCCTGGAGTAAAAATGTAAGTACTATTTTTTTAAAGGATACCAAAAAATACAAAAGGAGACTATGTCAGAATAGGATTCTGCCTTAAAGAATTAAACTGAAATGGAAGCAACAGGAATATAGGGATTCTAAAGATAGACTGCCTATACTAGTTATTGAGCATTTTAGAAGAAGTTTTAATGTCAGTAGGTGATCATGATAAGGTTTCAAAATCATCTCACAATTGCCAAAAATCTTGAACATTCAATAAATATATCATAGATATCAGGCAGACTTGTTAAGATTTGACAGTTTAAAAATCTTCAAATTACAATAAAATAAGTTGTGTAACAAGCATTGATTAAAAGAACTTTGGATAGTTGGATCAATATTCAGTGCCTCTTTTGGTGAAAGTCAATAGGTGATAACACATTGAACAGCTCAGACTAAATGACTTGTGAAAACGTTGAAGAATTGAATTGTTACCCAGTCAGGCCTAAGCCACGATTTGAATGTTCAACATTAAAGAGTTTTAAGACGCTCAATGTTTGGTAGAGTTTTAGGGATGTGTCTTCTTTTTCACATTTCATATGGCATTATACACAAGATTCCAATTTAGATTTTCTGAATGATTGTAACTTCCACGGTTAACCTAGGGCATTTGGTGGAATCACATCATACAACATTGTGACATAAAGATATTTGCAATTGGAAGATCATGTTTTGTATGATTCTGTACATTTGAAGTATTTCAATGAACAAAGATAAGCTTATTATTATTAAACATGAAACATCTAATGTAGATGAGAGTTCATGAAAATCAATAAAACTACTCTAAAGGGATTGCTTTTATTAATGCAAAAATACAGCAGAAGGACATTGCAATAATTAAAACTCTCATTATACGACCGCAAAAAAATTTTGAGGTCGTATATTGGTATGACGTTGGCGTCGTCGTCGTCGTCGTCGTCGTCGTCCGGCGTCGTCGTCCGAATACACAATGGTTTTCGCACTCTAACTTTAGTTTAAGTGAATGGATCTCTATGAAATTTTACCATAAGGTTCAATACCACAATAGGAAGGTGGGGATTGATTTTAGGGGTTATGGTACCAACAGTTAAGGAATTAGGGGCCAAAAAGGGGCCGAAAATAAGCATTTTTGTAACTTCCAGACATAACTTGTGTGTTAGCATATGGATCTCTTTGACATTGTACCACAAGATTCCATATCACAAAGGATCAATGCTGGGATTGATTTTGGGGTTAATTGCCTCAAAATTTTAGGAATAAGGGGCCAAAAGGGGGCAAAAAACAAGCATTTTTCTAGTTTCATGACAATAACTTGTGTGTAAGTGTATGGATCTTTCTGAAATTTTACTACAAGGTTCCATTTCACAAAGGGAAAGTTGGAATTGAGTGTTGTTGTAATTGCCCAAAACGTTTAGTAAAAAGGGGCCTAAAAAGGGGTTTAAAATAAGCATTTTTTAGTTTCTAGACAATAACTTGTGTTCAAGTGTATGGATCTCTCTAAAATTGTATTACAAGGTACCATACCACAAAGGCAAGGCTGTTATTGAGCTTGGTTTGGGGGGAAAGGGGGGTGGGGGTGATGAATCATAAGGGGGGCGGGGGTCAAAAAAGGGGTAATTTTTTTTTTCCTTTTTTTTTGTTTAAAATTTACATTTTAAGTTAGTTATTTTTTATCACGAAGAGAAAGTAGGAATTGAGTTTTGGGGTTAATTGCTCAAACATTTATGAATAAGGGGCCAAATATTGGTCGAAAATAAGGATTTTTTTAGTTTGCAACAAAAACTTGTGTTCAAGTGTATGGATCTCTGTGAAATTGTATTGCAATGTACCATACCACAAATTGAAGGTTGTGATTGAGGTGGGGGATGATGAATCAAAAGGGGGTTGAAAAAATGTGTGGGGGGTAGGATTTTTTTTTTTCCTTTTTTTTTCTTTAAAATTTTCCATTTAAAGATGGTTGTTTCAGATTTATATATGAAAGAAAATAATAATGATACGGTTATATATCATGAGGAACTGAAATTTAAAATTATGTATATTGGAAATTTAGGTTACATTGGAAAGTAATAATTGGCTTTGGGGGGGGGGGGGGGGGGGGGGTGGTGGTGGTTATGGCTCTAATGTTTAAGGAATAAGGGGAAAAAAGGTTAAAAAACAAGGGTTTCCATTTTAATAGACAAATAATTGAGTAAAGAACATTATTTAAAAGCAGTGTAAGGTTGGTAATTCAAACTCATTTAAATATCTCATCTACACTGCTTTTAAATTATGTAAATTGGAAATTTGCCAATAACTTTATTGTTAATAAATGCATTGGAAATTTGCCAACAATTTTAGTGTAATAAACTTCATTGGAAATTTGCCAATATAAAATTTTGCTGATAAAGGTTTTTTGTTTACCTTTAGCCTTGACTATGAAGTCATTTTCTATTTTTATAGCCTTATGATGTAGTTGAATTATTTAATACTTTTATGATGTGTTTAAATGGGGTTTTATCATGTTTATGGTTGCAAATTTATTGTTTTAGTATAATAAACTCCATTTAAAATTTGCCAATAAAAAAAATTTTTGTTTATTTTTAGCTATGATTATGATGTCATTTTCTATTTTACTTTTATGGTTGCAAAGAAATTTTTATTTTTAGATATTACTGTTAAATGATGCTGATTAAGGTTTTTGCTATGTTTAGCCATGACTATGATGTCATTTTCTATTTTAATATCTGTTATGATGTATTTAAATGGGCTTTTATGGTTACAAAGGAATTTTATTTTTAGATATTACTATAAAATGTTGCTGATGCTGATTAAGGATTTTGTTTATTTTTAGCCATGACTATGATCGATGTCATTTTCTATTTTAATACCGTTACGTTATGATGTAATTTCCATTTTTAGATATTACTGTTAAATGATGCTGATTAAGGGTTTTTTGCTATGTTTAGCCATGACTATGATGTCATTTTCTATTTTAATATCTTTATGATGTATTTAAATGGGCTTTTATGGTTACAAAGGAATTTTATTTTTAGATATTACTTTAAATGTTGCTGATTAAGGATTTTTGTTTATTTTTAGCCATGACTATGATGTCACTTTCTATTTTAATACCTTTATGATGTATTTAAATGGGCTCCCATGTATTTAGATTTTTGATTATTTATACATGTTACCAAATTGGTCCACATTGAACAAAAACGGTCCAAATTTCAACTTTATTACATTACATCAAACATTGAATTCTACATATTCTTTGATATATTGAAATTAACAAACAATTTAGTTTATGGATATTCCACCATAATAGGTAAATTAAATTTTTTCCAGTTTTACACCACATTCATCCTGTGTCAGAAACCTATGCTGTGTCAAATATTTAATGACAATCCAAAGTCATAGCTGTATCAAGCTTGAATTTTGTGTCCATACTTGCCCCAACTGTTCAGGGTTCGACCTCTGCGGTCGTATCAAGCTGCGCCCCAGCGAAGCATTTTATTTCATTTTACCCAGTAATACTAATATTACATATCGTTGGTAGTTAGACAACACAAATTTTACCTAGTAATACTAATATTACATATTGTTGGTAGTTAGACAACACAAATTTTACTTAGTAATACTAATATTACATATTGTTGGTAGTTAGACAACACAAATTTTAATACTGGATAAGAAAAAAAGGAGAAGGTCCAGTAAGGGCTTATTTTGGCCTAAAATTTGAAATACATCAGATGAAAGATTTTTGACATTTTTCAAACACTTAAATGTCTTCTTCAGTCAATTCAATGAGTTTATGTAAAATATTTGAACTGATTTGGTCATTAAAGACGCCCAAATTCAAGCTTGAATATGAAAAATCTATCAAATATGCCACAAAACTTCATTTTTCAGATAGTTTTTGTCTAAAATGTTAGTGGCCGCATTCGTGTTCTGTCTCAACCTTTATATATGTTATGTATCATCATCAAATACAACATATATTTAAATATTTTAAAAGACACAACACAATTGCGGCCACTTCCGTTTTAGAAAAAAAATACGTCTAAAAATAAGCACAAATGCTAAAATTGTGAAGATGTCAGTAATTTTGCATGAATTAATGATGGTAGTAACGGATGCATGCGCATTGCTTCAAAAACGGCCCATATTTATGTAACAAATATATCTTTCCAATAAATAGCTAAAAGTTTATATTTTTAATAATTTTTTGAAATGCTACATTTTTGGGCCAGAAAGGTCCTACTCCTTTTTTATGACTTTGATATGATCAATTGAATTGCTGTAAATTCAGAAATTATTGCAGAATGGACAAAACTGGAGGATTTATTATTCCAATTGCAGGAAATCTGCATACAGATTGAGATATATGTATCAGATATCAGAATGTGAGTTCTTATTATTGCGATAATCACCAAGTTGCATTATTCCAATTAATAAAAACTTCGCTAAAATTTCTAAATGTACAGTAACCACAAAATTAGGTAACCTTGAAATACCATTTTTTTTCTCCAATATATCTTGAGACTTCTTCCTTGGCTCTTATCTCATCTCATAACCAAACACTTTCAACAGAAATGCCTTATTTAGATTAATCACATAGACCATGGATTGACATATTTACACATGATTAGAACAAAATCAGTATTTATTGCTAGCCATCCACTCTAGTATTTCATAGGTTTGATGTTATGTAATATAAATGAAGACAAAGTACTTTTGTATGAATAATGAAAAAGTTTCCTGTTTTATTTTTTATCTAGTCTGTTTTGAATTGAAAATGGAAATTATATAATGGATGGCAGAACAACTCTTAGGGAAAATCTTTAATTTTATTGAAAATCATTAAAGGATGCTTAGAAAAATTAAATTGTGTTGTAAGGCATATTTAACTGGTGGAACAGTTTTTGTTTTTGAACTTTCTAAAGAATTTTACAAAACGATCGGCACTTTGCCAGAAACAAATCAATAGAATGCTTTATTACAGATTTCAGTGGGTGAATATAGAAC